CCGCAGAGCCGCAGAGGCAATTACTCAGCCTCTTGTAAAAAGCAGAGCGCTCTAAGGGGAGAGCAACCCTGTCTCATATTAAAACTATGCTAATTAGGAACTAATTACAGGCACAAAGATATTATTACCCTTGGCTAGCCTGCAGGCTGCAGCCTTGGTCCTGACTCCAAACCTCTCCTGGTGTGGCGCGGCCGCAGGGCAGGGGGGCCTCCTTAATAAAAGGGGCCAAGCTTCGAGCGAGCCAGGACTGCCCGGCTCCTGGGTAACCTCAGCGCCATCGAGCCTCATCCTGACGTGACCTACTCAGGGTTCTTCTCATATGGAAGGGCTAAATTTGTATCTGCAGGGGAGCTGGAATAAAACTGTATAACTGAGGATTAAAGAAACCCAACCAAAAGCGCCGAGGGCACGCAGGGAGCTGACACCGAGCCCGCTGCGCTGCACGACAGCGCAGGTTTTTCCCCTGTTGCTGTTTGGATGCCGAGAGTTGTTTTGGAGCCGGGACGTAAACACTGAATCTGGCCCTAGAGCAGGTCACTGTGAAGTGACACAGGGCAGGTGGTCCCCGCTGTCAGTGGAGGCTCCAGTGTCCTCCTGCCACCCGAGACCATGTCCCTGGGAGCCGCTGCTCTGCCAGGAGCTAGGGAAGGGGGAGCGTGGGGGGCTCCTGCGGCACGGAGCCCACGCTCTGGCCCTGGGCGAGACGAGCTCGAAGCCAACCAAGGTTTCCACAACCCACTGGGGTCTCCTCGCTCAGGGGAGCCAATTCAAAGACACCCACGGGCTTTGCTTTGGACCTCGCAGGCCTTGCAGAAGTACAAAACCAACGTGCTGCTCCGAAGTTGGCAGGTGCTCTACGAGGGAGGTGGGGACGGGACTCGCACCTCGGTCTTTGCTGTAATGAGGGTCCACTCATTAATGCAAACCAACACCTACCTGGAGGCCGTTCATTAAGGGCTGGATAAGTCAGCATGGAAATCGCAGCCCAGAGCCCAGGGAGGGATTGCTTCAGAGAGGGGCCGTGCCGGAGGGAGGCAACTTCAGGCAGGACTCACTGGCCGTGCTTTTTCTTCTCTGGTTCCAGGAGAACTGGCGCAGCGCCCTGACTCCATTCCCCATGAAGAAAGCACAGCATCAGCTGTCGTGTCAGCGGGAGACAAACCATTTAACGTGAAAGACTTTAAATGGAAGCAGGAAATGAAAAGATAAAGGGCAAATTTTATTTTAGATTCCTTGTTGGTACATATTTCCCTTTCTGACGGTAAGGGTATGCGATGTCTTTATCAGCCCACTGTTGGAGAATTTATTTATAGAAACTTAATACTTTGCAATAAAGCAGGAGGGGGATGTTAGCAGCTCCAGTTGAGCAAATGCAAGTTGCGAGGAGAGTAGGGCAAGGGGATGAAGAACCCAGCTATCTCCTTCCCTTTGAATGGACCTGGATTTCTGGGAAAACTGCTGGTACCACGGAAATCAGCCATACAGCCTGTACAGAGCAAGCAGGAGCTTGGCAGCCAGCGTGGCATGAAACCAGTCATCTCTGCTCTCAAGACAGCGCATGAAAGAAGGGACACGGCGGGGAAGACTATCGCAGAGAGCATCATGGCAGCTTGGTTGAAAGCAAACATCCCCTGGCACATGTAATTACACCAAACTGAAGACTATTTCCTAACCTTGAATATATTTCAGCCGTAACTTAGCAACCTACACTGGGTAAAAGCACGTGAACAGGAAAGCAGGTTCAGAGGAGAGATTTAGTCTCGAGTTCCCTTTTGTTCCCTTACCGTGGCAACAGCTCGGTGCCAGCTCCCACCGACTTCCACGGAGCCAACCTCCCCCTGTGCCAGTGGAAACCTCCCCCCCTTTGTCATCTAGACCTACATTAGGAGATTAATTAAACACTTTGCTAACCAAACACTGGTGAGTCAACCGCGTCCACAGAAGTTACACAATGATGATTCACGGACTGCTCGTGCCATTTCAAGGGTAGACTTTGAAGCTGCAACTCGTGGTAGCACATGTTGTGAGTCACCGATGCTTGGGTGAAAGAGGAATTGGAAACACTCAAGGAAATGGACCCGAAAGACGACTCAGACTTGGCATCAAGATGTGCTTATGTGTCTTCTACTCACCAGGCAACCTTGGAGATCTGGTAGAAAGTCTAAGACTTGACTTTTTGCACTTTTTCCTTGACAGAAACATCCTCCCTTGGCAAAAGCCTTGCTTAAAGAGTATTAACCCTTGGGACACAAGGACAGAAGTGACGTGTCCAGTGATGAGCAACAACCTGGGAGCGAGGGCAGGAAAGGACACCCATCCCACCCCAGCACCTCACCCAGCGCTTCCCGCATTACCTCCCAGTCTTCCTATCCCATCACCCGGCACTTGGCAACACGTCCCAAAAAACAAAGGCGAGCTAACCACGGCCTGAGGACCCACAACCCACGGGACCAGCAGCCTGGACCGGAGTCAAGACTTTTCAGGCTGGACCAGAATCAAGAATTTCTTTTGGCTTCACACACCCAACGTGCGAGGGACCTGCCTTGCAGAGAACAAGCACAAAACACATGAGGCTCGAGGCACCCTCGCTCAGTTGCCGTAAACTTATTGCACCATCTCATTCCCTGCTTTAAATAACCGCTTTATTACGGGCCACCGGAATACCGATCAAGCTGCTCGGCTAATATTTACAGTTTCACAACCTGCGAGCTGTCGATCTCTACAAAACGCAGCTGAACGAGCGAACTGCTTTTCATCCCCACACCTGCTTAACGCCAACTATTCCCAAAACACCGTTTTAATTTGCAACCAAACGCTTGAGGCTGCTGGCTATCGCGCCCAGATCACCAACCGTCACAAGGATCCATGTCTCATTAAGCTGTCATGCAATCCCTGTGCCATCTCCGGTCTTTTCTTAGAAACGCCAAGCTCCCTGGAGCAGGATCTGCTTGATCTGCGCTCGGAACAACCTGTGACCCTTCCGTAAAAAAACAAAAGGTAACAAATCATTTGTAATAAATTTATTTTATATATCGGTTTACAGAGCTAAATTGAACATATAAACAGCACCAAGCCAGTGAAATTTACCCTACAAAAAACCAAGTTTAATACAAAAAGATGACTGCAATGCCTGACTCTTCGCTTCTGGATCTGGACGGTTTAAAAAAAGCTAACCCGAACCCCACAAATATTTCAAAAAGGCTTAAGAATGTAGGCACCGGTGTTTGCAAAAATTTCTATGGCAGCGGTGATAACCCTGCTACATTTTAGAAGAATCAAGGCTGTTTTCACTTTATCCCTATTTTATTAACAGCAGAAGAAGCTGGTCACTGTCTTGAAGCCAGAGGCTGAGTCTCCTCTTCTGTTCAAACACCCCACCCTTTGCCACCAGAAAGAAAATATGGGGTAAGAGCCAACTCACACAGGGTATTTCCCATTTAACGGGAAAAACCTCCCCGTGTTTCATTCCTGGAGAAACCTGCTCTCTCCACTCGCTTTGGCTGATGACCTCAGGCCCGTTGGAATCTCCACAGTCCTTGTGCACAGCCCGCGGGGCGCGGAGCTGCGAAACCCCCACCGAAGGGAGCGGAGGAGCACAGACTTCATGCCAGGAGGCGAGCAGGGACTGGCACAAGGAACCTACCTCGTAAAGCCTGCAAAGGGGGCAAGCAAGTCTAAAATTTTGTCCTAAACCAACCCTGAGCCTGGCGGGGAAGTTCTCCACGCGTCCAGGATGCGAAGGAGAACAACACCCACTGGTTACACGGGTTCAAACCAACGCCGGCTTCTCTCTGCAGGTTTGACAAGTTTGTGCCAGGAGTGAATTTGGTCCCCGCTGCCCTGGTGCTGAGCTGGAGAGCTGTTCTACAACATCAGGAAGAGCAGCTTAGCAGTATCTCTGCCTAGCCTAAACTGCCACACACTGGTGCCATTTTCTTTGAAACAAACACTCATTTGCTGGACATAAAAAGAAACTTAAGGAACAAAATGATTACACAGACAAGATACGACGCCTGCGGCACGAACAGAGGATTGGTCGCTGCTCCTTGGACCTACGGGGAGGCTGCAGGAACAGCGACGTGGCAATCCCTGTAGGGACGTGGAACACAGCACCCACATTGCAGCTGCCCAGGATAAACACGTACATTCAGCCCTAAGAGCCTTCCCAAAGCTACTCCTGAATAGCCCACAAAGCAGTCCCCTTGGCTGTAGCCACAAGAAAGCGCTTTTGGAAGCTTCCTACCTCCTTTTATTTTTCACCCAAAATTCCCCTCCCCGCTACCCCCCGTCCCTGTCAAGAAATAAAGCACACGGACTGCAGACTTAAAAGGTGTCACAACCATTCCTCCATCCCAGCCCAAACCACCAAGGCACGTCAGACTGCCCTCCCTCTAGGACCGCCTTCACCCGACTTTTCTCCCCCTTCACCTGCAGGTGAAGCCGACACAAACATTTTCCTCGCTAGGAAGCAGCAAGTGCTTTCATCGCTGTCTTTCTAGTGATAAAAACTAATTCTAACAAAATGCATCTTAACTGCCACCCTAATGTTTCCATGGGAAATGGTAATCTTCTTTAAACACATTCCCTGATGGACATTGCCACCAGTTGGCCTTTGCAGAATTGAGGTCAAATTTTAAACACCTACGCTTTCTCAGAGAGATCTTAAGTCCCTCAATATAAGGTGTGATTTTTTTTTTTCTTTTTCTTCTTTTTAAAAAGTTGTTCTAGGTTTGCTTGCCCACAGAAGCCAGATATCTGCTGGAAGGCTAACTTTGGTGCAGTTCTAGCTTCCCACCAGCTCAAGCCCATCTTCTTTCCAAGCCAACGTTATTGCCCTGAATTTCTGCACATGAAGATTTTCAGAAAGAAGAGCAAACGGATATGTGCTATCCCCAGCCCTCGGAGATTAGGACCATAACCTGCTCTTTCCCACCACCAGAGAAGGGACTGTCCCCTCGCAGAGGTCCACATCAACGGTTGCTCGACTTCTGCTCCTCCTCAGTGCTCTGAATCAGAGACGTAAGATGGCTGAGTCCATCTCCACACAAGCATATCTTCTCCTGCTACTCTGTGCGACTCCGTCTGAATCCGTGACTCATTGGAAGCCAGAAAATCCACAGCTCTCTCCCAGACCCGCTTCATCTTTTTTCTGCAAGAAACAGCAAGAAAAAAGAAAATAAATTAGATTCGTGGCCTCATTGCGCTTTCCTGCTTATAGCGACTGGGGCTGCTGATCAAGCCACGGCGAGTTGTCTCCCGCTCCCTGGGCAGGCAGGAAAGGAGATTAAACTAGAATTCTGGTTTAGAGGTAGTTTCAAGCCAGGATGTGAAAACACAGGTCCTGCCTGGGGTGGGGGAGACAAGACCCTTTGTCAGCGCCAGGAATTCACGACTGCCCTGAATTTCAAGCTCAATTCATATAGTGAAGGGATTTGATTAGCAAACTGCCCTCATCCTTCCTGCACGCAGAGAAATCTCAGACCGGGGAGGACAAACTGAAGTCCACCCCAGTTTTAAATCAGCATCTCGTAATTCCAGGCACCAGGCACCTGGAGATCGGTTCAAACCAGCTGAAATTACCACTACTGGAAAAGGACTTTTGTGACTGATAAAGAGTGAGGATGTTTAAGACCTTGCAGCACACAAAGTCTCCTGCTGTCAGGAGAACAAAGTAGCTCCAATTTAACCAAAACGCAAGAAACGTTCCTGCGGAGATGGAGCAAGCGGCACGTAAACAGCATCTCACTCTGTCTCCCCTTCGAGCTGCCCAGCTCAAACTGGTGACTTTCCCAGGCAGCGTCACCTTCAGAAGAACCTCCCCAGGCCCTGTTCAACTCATGGGACGGTTTGCTCTGAAAAGCACAGCACCTGTCAGGAGAATAAGGTACGAGGGCTGAGAAAGAGGACAGCATCCTACACGCATTAGATGGAGGAGAAAAAATCAGACGCTCCACGGCCAAGCAAAACAAAATCCAATTACTGTTTGATAGAACAATGACAACACACCTGTGTGACTGCACAAAATATCAGCCTCGCAACTGTCACATTCATCTGCAGCAGGTTAAGACACAGCCTGAGTTATGTCAAAATCCTTTATAAACTGAAAGGCCAGACACACTCTTCTTGCAGTCCAGCTTCCCGGCAACTGTCTGCTCGTGGTCCGTTGCCCCCCTCACTGCACTTTTTTAGCTGAGCTGAATAACATTGTGCTGACAATCCTCCCTAACGAACAAAACTCAGCTCACCTGCTCTGAGGAGGGATGAGGCTGTCGCGAACGTGGAAAATACCGACGTAGGGGTAACGCTCCAAATTCCGTTCCCATTCCTTGTAGTGCTCCTGGACAACAGCTGGTGGCAGGAGGACAAAACAGTGAGAGACCTCAACATCGCAGAGAGGAGAACGGGGCTACTTGCATTTACAGAGCTACTGGATCTTACCTATGATCTTCTTCACCATTTCATACATGGCTTGTTCCTCTTCCTCCATCTTCCGCCAGCGATACCTAAGGAAGATCAGGATCCCCCAAAGAGTTATCAGACCTAGAAGAATAAAAACAAATGGAATTCAGTAGCTGACAGACGTGTGCCTGCCAGATGCCAGCAGTTTTATTTCCAACGCCGCTTCTCCCCAGAGGCAGCTTTCACTCCCTGCTACCCAGGCCCGCCTGGAACTGAACCCAAGCAGTTCATTTTGTTCATCGGCGCAGCTGCGCCCCGCAAAAACCTCGGCACCAACACCACCTGCAGCAGAACACGGGGACGTGGGGAGAAGTGGTCGGAAGGCCTCATCACAGAGTTTCTCCCCCCTTCCCTGAAACCTCAGCACTACCACAGGGCTTCAATTCTCTAAGTCCCAGAGCTATCTCTCTGCTAGAGGCCTCCCCCCGAATAATCACTTAGGAAGACTGTCAAGCTTCACTGCTCCGCAGATAGCTGCTTGATAAGGAAATAAAGCCTGGGGCTCCGGCACCAGCCTGAAATTCAGATCTATATTGCGGGTTTAGCATTGACAAATGCCCCCATTACATGGGCTAACTTTAGTATCTCATTCTCTACAATAAACATAACTATCCCCTTTCACCCCCACCTTGTCTGGCCAGATTATAAACTCTTCTAGTCAACACTCATCTCTCGTTATCACCTTGCCCAGTAAGACCTCTGTCTCAGCTGGGGCATAACAGACTACGCCAATAAAACCTCTAACACGGGAATGCTACAAGTCATTATTAAAGAGGCTCGAAGACTTTGCGGCTTAGTGCAAGAAAAGAAAGAAAAAACTATAATCTTTTAGGTAGGTTAACATACTTATTTTGCAGACCACAGGAATGGGTACTTGAGGAATACCCAGAGAGCTAATCAGCTTGCTGATTTAAAGGAAGAGTTAAGCACTCGCAGCACAAGAGCAGGTCTACAGGTCTCCTTCTGCTGCCAGAACAAAGGTTAATTAGAAATTAACTCATCAGCAGATTTATTTCACTTCTGTTAGTAATTTCAGGCGGTTGGGAAAAGGCACGTGTGCACACAAATTCACCTCTGCAGCTAGCAAGGGGAGAAGCCGATTGCTAACACCGACAACTTACTCCAGAAGAACAGGAAAAGGTTCATAATGGCAGTGACCATGGCCCGACGGAAACGGCAGCCAAGCCCCATCTGAGGATGGGCTGATTCCAGACAGAACACTTCCTCCACTTTGGTAACCGGTTCCGAAAGGTCTCTGCCTTTCAACCTGATGGGAAGAGGCAGAAAAACCTTCACTGAAGAGAGCAGACAGTCCAACCGCAGCCTTTAATCAAGACACAGGGAGAAGGAACAGACTGCGGATGCAGGAACTCCACACCGAAAATACATGGACACCCTTGCAGGCCCTCTTTGCAGAACATTTCGGGGCTGGCTGCTCAGCAAGGAAGGGATATGGCTTTAGAAAAGGCAGCAGAGCTGGAACTCCCACTGCTAAAGTGAAGTCTCCCTCTGCAGACTCTTTGACAGCACCTCTCAGCGTGCAGAAGATTAAACTTTAAATTGGATTCCCACCTCCCAGCACAGAGAAATGGAAATGTTTACTGAGTCACTCATCAGCAATTGCAGAGAGAGCAGCTGAGGGAGCCTGCGAATGTCTGTGGAGGTTGTGCTGTTTTCCTGGGTACAGATGAGCATAAACAGTTTAGCTAGAAAAGTGACAACACATCAGCTGTATCTGCAGCGAGAACAGACACACCCTCAGAAAGCATTCCCGGCAAAATCGATAACACATCCTCCTGCAAAATCACTTCTACACACCTGCGGGGCGATCCAACACGCTTTGAACTCACGTCTTTACATACAGATTCACACTGAGGTCGTTTCCTTATTAGACACTCCTTAGCCAAGGGATGAAGCAATCTGAGTGAGAGCCATCACATTCAGAGCAACTGGCCTACAGGGGATTTTAGTTTTTTCAGCAATTAATTCATTCTGTGTTTGCGATGAATAGCCTATTAGACAAAGACGTTTTCTCAATTTACTAGTACACAGCTCACCAACTGCTGCCAGCTTGCATTTGGTCACTGGATTCTACAGTAGCTGGAGCCACGCAGTTGTTTCCCACCCCCTTGTCTTATTTACAATCCAAATTCCACGAAAACATTTAAAATATGCAGCAGAATCACCCAGCGCAGAGCTCATTTTCAGTTCTGCCTCTCAGCCTAGCACCTAGCAAAATAACCTCACGTAGCGTTCGCTAAAAACGCCAGCCGCAGGTTTTTAAGCATGCTGAACACTCACACGCAGGCTTCGGGAAAGCGGATCCATCCGGCAAACAGCCGACAGGGTTTATAATTATGAAAAAAAAAAAAAATAAAAAAAGAGGAGTATATTGTTATCACACGGCTCCTGACATGAGCAGTGCTCCTGCATAAAAATACGAATTTGAAAACTCTGGGTCTCAGCCCCACCTACAAATCTAAACCTACCGCTAAAGGAAACTGTGTCCTGTCCGGGGAAACTGCCACACACCAATAATCAGAGCAGCAGACCCTGTCTGATCCTTAGATCACAGCAGCAGCTTCAGACTTTTTTTAGAGAAAACTGAGCAGTGGGAATTCATAGGAGCTGTGCCCAGCAACTCCAGCGTTACTACTGTTACAATTCATTTAATCAGAGATACGTTTAACGACATTAAAATGCAAACAAACGTTAGACTTCAGAGTTAACAGAGACTGAAGGCAGCCCACGCTTCCTGGAGGAAGATAATGATGTCTACGGACTCTGGATAACAGTTTTTTGTTAGGTTAAGGCCTCAATGTAATTATTTACCTGAAAAAAACTAGGATTTCTACTTTTTCTCATGTACTGAAGAGACTGCTGGCCGAGAAACCCAAAGGAATAAAAGCTCCGCCGCTGACCAACCAACACCCTACGTAGTCAGACCATTCATTTTAACACGTGCTCTGCCACAAAGCCAAATACACTGAAGCAAAGATACCATCCAACCACACACCCTCCTCTCCTCCTTAGCGGGACTTGCTCCAAAGCGTGGCTGATGTCACCTACTGCCTTGCTGACCACTAAACCCTCTGGACAAAGGATGCAGCTCCACACAATACCAAAGCTCCATCTCCAGTAACTGCACCAAAGCAAAGGTATCTCAGGACAAGTGACCACACGGGCAATAAGGGTGTTGTGGCCACACGACTGTGGGCAGGACACCGGGGCCACCACTCCTAAACCCTGCGGGAAGCACAGCACAACCACTGACAGCCACAAGCAGCCCTGACCTCACATTTACGCTGCATCTGCAAGACAGCGCGTCCGGGAACGTAGTAATGTGCCCCCCAGGCACAAAGGCTGGGAACCAGGCTCCCAGGAGACGAGCTCTGTTGCCAATTTTTGCTGCAGGGCTGTGCTGTTCATCTGGAGGCTCGCCCGGCAAGCACTGACAAAGCCAATCCCGGATCATCTTCCAAAATCTAACGAGGTATGGGGAGCTTTTAGGGCCCACCACAGCGGATGTCAAATGATGTATGAGCCCACACCAAGATTGACACAGTGGGCTTCCACTTACCATATTCCTAAATCCTTGTTACTGTTCAGTATCCAGTGCAGGGCAGCATCAAACTTCTGTGCGGAACTGCCAGTTACATTCTGTTCAGAGGAATCCATAAAGTTAGTTCTGCATTCATTTAAAATACTGAATAACGTTATTTGATTATAGCAGTGGGAGAACTCATTCTATACGGTCCATCTCTAGGTTAATTCCAATCATAACCAGAGGAAGGAGAACTCAAGCTGAAGGTCTGTCTGGACTAAAGTCTTCTGACTCTGGTAGATGATGCATGAAGCACTCTGTGAAATAACACTATCCCAGACTGTTAAGACTAACTGCTAAATACAACATAATCCTACTGACAGTTTACCATGAAAGAAATGGAATGCTAGATCAAAGCAGTCTGTCTTCTGACACTTTGGAGTATAGAAAAATTCTTCTTCTGCCCAGCCCTCAATCCAGGGAAATTTCTGGTTTCAAAAGACTGATGACTACGGTGAAACAACAAACCATTAAGTTAGATTTACAGGGGCTGAATCAGAGATGTAGGAGAAGATTATTTTCAAAAGAACTGCTGAGAACAGGACTGGCCAAAGGGGAAGCTAGAGATATGGGAAAGAATCAAAACAGGATGAGGAACTAAAACAGATGGTGAATTGCTTTAGTACCTATTATTTATCGCCTTCTAAGAGACTAAGCACTACGTTGTAACGACCGCGGTTCACAGCCTACTCACCATCACGTGATCCCTCACTTCATTAATCCAAATACATTTGCTTTTTAGATTCTCGGGGTTTCCGCATTCAAAATTACCTGGTAAAAAAAAAATAAAGCCATTAGAAATCATACTTTGAAAAAAAAATTTAAAAAAAGCACCCTTGAACAGTTTAGAAACACACTAAACTGTCTGGAAATGTTATCCTTCAAAGTCAGCTGTAGAACACACTAAACTGTCTGGAAATGTTATCCTTTAAAGTCAGCAGTAACTCTGGGCAAAATGATTGATACTGTAGGCAGGTAAGATTATGATTATTAATAAAATGCTCAGCAACTGCATATAAGTTGGATAAGGGCAATCAAACCTCGTGCTTCAGTGTGTGAGGTACTTGGTGCAGAATGAGGGGAAAAAAATACTGTTTCCCCACTTTGCAGAGTACATAACTGCCCCTCTGACCCAACGCCCTGCAGAGGGGCTCCTTCCACCAGGTACCAAACACTGCGGGGCTGGAGTTAACGATCAGCGGTCAAAGGGCTTCTAATGAGCCTAAACGGCAGCTCTACCTTCCAGCCCAGCAGAGAAATGCTGGCAAGGAACTCAATCTTCTAAATCTTGCTTCACAAACTTGACTAAAAAAACGTGTTCAGAGACTACGGAAAACTGGTGGGAATTCTGCAGGCACCGAAGTCTGATTGGAAAAGATTTAGAAATTCTGTGAAGCTTAAGTATCTAAAGACTTCAGCCTTGGTGAGGCCCGAGATCTAGAAAGCGGAACTTAAGCAGTTTTACTAACACTGCTGTACCTCTTGTTGAACAAGTTTCTGCTCATACGCTGAATTTCTAGCAGCCTTCTCCATCACAAAACACTGGTTATGGACTAGATTTGCTCACAGATAGCAGAGACGGGCTGAACTACTGTGCTGGGTTAGCTCCTCAGCTAGAAGAGCCCGTGTTATTCCGTGCTTTAGAAAAGGAGAGGCACTCACGTCATCAGCTGCCACCTTTCAGCAGAGAGCTGGCAATTTCTTAAGTCGTTTTAACTTTATTTGTAAGAATACATCAGCTTACACTTACTGGCTCTGAGTGTCCTGAAGACAATCTCAAGACGCTGGCAGAAAAGAACTATAAAAACTGAGTATTTCTACCTCAAATTCCCAATATATCAAGTACAAATAAGGACCACTCTCTGCAGGAGCACACTGATATAAGTCTGTTAACTAAGCACTATTCTGAGCAAAAATAAACACATCTTTTTTCTATTTTTCTATTACCTGGTTTTTTCAGAGTTCTTCAAGTGGAACTGACTGTTCCACAAAACCCTCTCTTCAAACTGAGGATAAAAATGCCCAGACAGCTGGCAGAGGCAGTTTGCTGAATGCTCATAAGTGTTTTATAACGACAATTGGAACTTACCAGCTTGTATGGACAAGTAATTATACAACTCGTGCAGCATGTTCATTATTACGTCCTTCTGTTTAGCTTGACAGAACTGAAAGCCAGAAACAGGTAAAAAACATGAATAGACCAGCAACAGACTCGCTAAAAATACCAAAACCAAAATACCAGCAGTGGGGTTTGCCTCAGTCAGGCATCACTGGTTCAAATAAAAAAAAACACCTGCAGCAAAGATCGACAGTTTCTGAGTTCAAATTCTCTGGAAGCGCCTCCGACTCTCTCAGCCCAAGCCCGCAGCACCAGCCACCCACCCCGACCCACCGCGGGGGGACTCGTTGCCTCCAGAACATCACAGGAGACCGAGCATAAACTCTGAACCCAAAAATGAATTTTCTTCTCTCCAAATAATACATGACGATGAAAGAAACAGGGCTGTACACACATTTTATGATGGAGCACGGGCATTTCGTTGGATTCAATCTTGTACTGTCGAAGCTGAACATAGCTTGTCTGCAAACTGGTATCAGCTCTGTCGCGGTTATTCAAGAAATCGATTCACATAATTGAGAATTTAAGTTTTCATCTTTTGGAGTCTCATATCCAGCCCTAATTTAATCTGGCCCATGAATTCCAACTCACCGAATCACAATTTTTCTGTAATATGATACAATTTGACAGTGATGCTGATACTGGTGGAAGTTACCTACAATAATTACTCTTCTCTGAGAACCCCCTACCCACAATACTTAAAAGAAAAATAAATATATGCTTACACCATCCGTTTTTTTGTCGCAATCCACAGGCAAGAGATTAACTACAAGAGAGAAGGTGAAGGCGAGTTAGTCGACTGCAAAACAAGAGCTTTGATCAAGGAACTAATTATCTTTTTAAACGAAGGCTCTACTTTAAAGCCAAATTCTGCTCTTCTTAATCTCATTCTGCACAGCACCTTGCTATGCAAATAGCGCATTCAAAGCATCGCTTTGGCAGGCAGCACTGAAAGCAAAACTAATAAAACGGGTGCAAATGATGAACCCTCTTCAGTTGGAAAGCAAAAACTGGGATCTGAATGTTTCGATAGCTCCTCTTAATTAGATGTTTCGTGCTCCTCTACCACCTACCGCTTCGCACCGACCTTTTACAATCCAGCAATGCCATTTGCGGCATGCCACGGTCACTTGAAATATCATGGTGGTAACCAGGATTTAAATCAAGCCTCTTCAAGGCAAAAGCAGAGGATTTATTTGAGCTGGAGCTGTTGGCTCTGCAGATTACGGCCTCTGGTTTAACAGCTCCCTCCCGCTCCGACATTTTTTCACTGGCCACCGGTCCAGCACGCTGCAATCGTAACCACCGGAGAATTTAAAGGATTTGCCGCTGTGCTGCAAGATTTTGTGCTTTGAAACAGCACAGGTTTCAAAATGTCTAACAAAGTCGTAGAGGGGGCATCAAAAATTCATTGATATTGGATAGTTCTATTCCAACTTTGAGAAAGCAAGAAACATCTCCCAGCCCATGCAAAGCACCCAGAGGCACAGCGCGTAGAGTCCGAAGGCTCGCACCCTCCCAACCACGCCCCAACCCCTTTCTTTCTGCTCAAAGTGACGATATTTCCCACCTCCTCTATCTGGGGAACTCTGCTTTAAAAACTGGGGGACGGGGAAGCCCCCTTTCGTTTCTCATGGGAGCTCTGCCACACTTGAAGC